TGCTGTTAATAAGTATAGAATAGAACAAGGCAATGGATCTATCTGAGCACAGATAGATCCATTGCCTTGTTCTATTCTATACTTATTAACAGCAGTTAATAAGTATAGAATAGAACAAGGCAATATGATACATTTAGAGTAAGTTAATGTTTTTATAATCACAGTTAAATATTATTTAAAAGAAGAAACATTCTATCAAAACTATCTCTGGTATGATCTCATATCTTTAGTATTGGTTGAGAACTTGTATTGATTAACAATTTCCATTTGGTATGTTATCCATCAATATATATAAAGTATGTTTAATATATTAAAATTAATAAACTGATGTAAATTTATAAATAGTTTTAAAAAATAAGACAGAAGTAAACACTCATTGTATTACGACTTTTAAAACTAAGATTTTTCTCCCTAATATAGATATTATGCTATTTTATCACGAACTATACAAGTGCATAAATAGATGGTTTAATTTATTATGTACTCAGTTCCGATGGCCTACAGAGGTTGAGAAACCACAAGTTGGGTGAAAATAAATTAAAAACTATCACAACAAATCTGTCCAAACAAGGTTTTGAATCCCAGACCATCATCTTACAATAGTGTTCTGAACTACTAGGCCTCATCTCCTCTACAGATCACTACTATGTATTATTGAGAAATAACTAAATACAGTAAGTTATTTTACAAGCAAAAAAAGTAGCATGTAAAAACAGCTGCCATCTCATGTACACTTTTTACTACCTAATTTTCTGCAACCGTCTTCTTTCTTGAAAACAAGCCACCTGATGTTTTTAAAAATGTGCATCGTATATGGACAAAAAAGAGACCATTTGGTTCTTCAAAACTGTTCTTACATATACACCCTTGAGAGAAAAAAAAACTTATTTTTCATAAAATTCTCTCTTAAATCCCGTAAAGTATCCAGCCTCCACCACTGCTGACAACAACTCATCCACCATCTTCAAGATGTAAAACTGTCTTAACTGAAGCCTAGCATGTCTTTTAAAATCTTAAACTTGTGTCTTTTCCTCCTATTATCTTCAGAATAACAGCATAAAGAAATCAGAGGCCTTTATCCTATCAGTACCTTTCAGTAAGATCTCAAGAGAAAATAACAGATCTTAACCTATCCTTAGAAGATAATCTTTCCATTCCCAGAATTATCCTCTGAACTTTTTCCAATAAATCAATATCCTTTCCTAGATAAGGAAAGCAAACCTATACACTGAATTCCGAATGAGGCCTAACCAGTTATTTTGATAATTATTATAGCTTAACTACTAGCAACACAGCACTGCACTGATAGCTTCAGTGATTTATCAACCACTACATCAATATCCTTTTCTTCAATTATGCTAGTGGTTCCCATCTATATTTAAAGTGTTATGATAACCCAAAACCTTAACTGTACAAATTGCAAACAAAGTTCATCTTCAAATGAAAGAGAACATGTATTTTAATGTCAAAACTATATTGTGGTGTTATTCCTTTAAATACACCATTTTGTAGTGTCATCACTAGCTACAAGAATAATTTGGGGCTTCGGTTTTACCTAGCAGCTATTTTTCAAAATAATTAAAACATAATAACAAATGTTATTTAGTTTATGTAAGATAGATTTGGGGCACTGAGAACTACCTTCGAAGTATGACCCTGCAGGCCAGTGTCCAGCAATGCACCCTGCCATTTCATAAAGGTATTTAAGATAAAACATAGAAAAAAAATTAAAGCTAGTAACCGACTCAGAAATTGAAAACACTAATGTATCAGAATTTAATATTTACTTTATTTCAAACACATATCAACTTATCTACTTGTTAAAAATCAGTGCAATTCACTTTAAAACAGCATTAATAAGTTTCACGCATATTTTAAAAATGTAAAATAACTTATTTCAATGCTTTACTATTTGTAACACGTGTACAACTCTTTCTAGATGCAGTCTTATAATCTTATACTAAAAACTGTACCCAACGTTTGTGTATAGTATTCACATAGACATAGCTTCTGCCTACTAACATACCTAGGTATGTGTTCGGTATTCAGAGCACTATTATATATTAGTTTTATTTTCTTTGATGACCTAGATGGCTGTTGTTAACAGGTGACAAAATAACTTGATCAGCAGAATGATCTTCTGTTACCTCAGTCACTTATGTTTCTAAGTTTCACTATTTCAATAACTTGATCAGCAGGATGATCTTCTGTTACCTCAGTTATTTATGTTTCTAAGTTTCACTATTTCTACAAAATTTATTTTGTTCAAAAACAGCATTCTTCTTCTTATTAATATTTATAAAAAAATTGTTGTTGGTTATCTTAGTTTCAGGTTTTATTCTGAATGTTAATAAAGTGTAGATTTTTCAAAAATTGTGAGGAAATAAATGTATTTCACAAAGTGACTATAGTAAAAAATAAATATTTTATGTTATTATTGACTACAAGTTTTAACCCTATTTGCACAGGTAGAGGGTTTGCATGTACTGACCTTGTACAGAGGAAATTTCAACATGATATTATGAATTTGATGTCAGAGATGCTAACTTTTCATGTTATCTTAATTTGCTGATTTTGCAACTGTTCATGTTAGAGTAGAGAAAATACCAGAGACAACACAAAGAGATATTGAAAAGAACTTTAGATATGCACTTAGGAGGTTCAAAGTTTCTGCAACTGTAATTTGAAAACTGTATGATGGCCAAAAGTATTTTTATTCTTTACACAAATATTATCTTGCATTCCAACTTGTTACAGTCCAAGTCAGACAGATTTTTGCATCTCACAGATGTATCTTTTGCACAAAAACTTTAATAACACGTCTGATTTTTTTTTGTGTGTACAACAGATTTGTACTGTTTACCAAATTCTGAATTTACAAAGTTTCATGAGGTTAACTTTGTAATTTCAGAAATAGTCAACATTACTTTTCCAATACAGGGTCGATCTGACTGACTGAACACCTGCACAATTAGTTGACAAATAAATGTAGTTTTAACAACCACGTGAATGCAAAAGTTAGAAAACATCAAAACACACAAAAAAATATTAGCTGAAAAAGTACAAGTTGGCAGTTTACCTATGGACAACAAATATTTAAACAATTTGCATTTCTATAGATTAATATTTTGTTGAGAAATGCTAGTTATGAAGTCTTGTCTATTCTTTATAGAATGTAGTAAACTTAGATGATACAGATAGTGGCATTCCAAATTATATTATAGAACACACATAACATGACTAAGTTTTGTACTCCAAGACAATTGGTGGTACAGAAATAATTTTAATGAACCATTAGTTCTCTCTAAGAAATTGAGTTGAAGGTGCTGAAAAATTTGGATGTATTTAAATATAAGAGCACAAGGTTAAAAAAGGCACTTGTAAGTGTCAAGTAATGGAGAATGGGGGTCATTAAATAAGTTATTAATCACCTCGGTAGACTTGCCTGTGGCTTTAAGTTTCTTAAATAATAAACAGTACTATTTTTGTTAGTGTATATGTACAAATTTGTTTAACTGTTCATTTTTTTAATCATATGGTGTTTAGAAAGCCAGATACCTTATCTTTATGTACATTAGTACTTAAATTCTCTAACTAACTAGGGTCTTAACAGAAAAAAATGGTGAAGGTTCAATGTAATTTGGTATTTAGACAACCAAATAATTTATCTAATGTAAATTAATATTTAAATCTTCAAATCAGAAAAAATAGTTAAAAGCTTGAAAAATTAATGCTGTTTATCATCAGTAATTACAATGGTAATATCACAAACTATTAAAATGGATTTTTCTTATCTGTATGGTAGATAATATTACAACATTTGCTACAGTTTTTTTATCCTTATCCGAACTTTGTACTTCCTACTCTTAATCTTCTTGAAATGTTTTTTTTTTAAACTGGTAGATATAATACATACATGACAAATGTAACAGAGTAATACATCTTACTACAACTTAAAAATATATGTATTTCATAATTTTTCAAAAGTACTTCACAATATATGTAAATTTACACTATATTTCATTAATTTTAACTTAATGTTTAATCCACACATATTGTTAAAAAATACTTGAAATAAATTACAAACATATCAGGTAATTATTCCTTAAGTTACACTGCTAAGAAAAAATAAAAGCTGGATACAGATTTGCAAAACTTTTAACGTTTAGTTTTAATATTTAAGTCACCACTACTAGTACTAATCTTAATCTTGAAAGTTGAAAGAATTCATGAAAAGTTTAATACATTAATAAACTAAATGTTAACATTCATGCTTTCTGAGCAGTTTTATCTTTAAAAACCTTAACTTTATTCCATTAATTTCAAAAACTTAAATATCACCATCAATAAATTAATGTTAATACTGAATTTTTAACTCAAAGACTTTTATCAGTTCCTCATTTTTGAGGAGCTTGGTTGTCCTTGTGCACCTTCTCATGCTAAATTTTGACAAAATGGTTGTATTTTTTCATGCCTTTACACAGTTTTCCTTGTATCTCAAAGGAAGATATGTTTCCTAAACAATTCAACACAACCAATAACTACATTTAGTTGCCACTCTCAAAATACTTCAAATTTATCAAGTGTCTCAAAAACCCCAGACTACTCATTGAATACAGCTATATTTTCCTATTTTACATATCTAACTACCACAGCAACATAACAATAAATGTTTACTATCACTCAAAACTGAACTACACAGTAAAGAAGGTCCACCTTTCAAAAGCACTCAGGTTATAGAGTTTTTATCATTTTGTATCAAGACTTGTTGAACCTATTTGTTTTTCTGACATCATGAATATAATGTTGTTGAATATTTCTTATAAATGTGTGATCATGTTTCTCATGAGGTGTTACAGAAATAAAACTTAAAATATAAATTACTGTTTTAAATAACATTAAACCACAAGAAGATCTGACACAATATTTATATTATACTAAAGGATTAGTATATCCACATTTCTATAAGTTTCTGGAATAAATACTGAAAAAAATCAATCATTTTTTGAGTTCAAATTAAAAGTTAGCAAATATGTAAAATGTGTTCAAAAAAGCCAATTATAAAAGGGTGCATTCACATTTCCTGATGTGTCCCAGATGTAAAGATTTCATTCACTTTATTTCAAATATGAATTTATTCTATTCTAAGATATCTATATATCTGCACCCTTGCATGCTCATTGTCTCAATCAATTATGTCTAAAAACGTATAACCATTTCACACTGGCAGAGAAGTTACATCAACTTATGTCACTACGAGTATGATTTATTAGTTTCAGGTGCTCACTTTTTGACCTCCAAAATAAGTTGCTTTGGCACAGCTTTGACTTGGAGTCGTCTCAGTTTGAGTTTTTAATTATACTAAATTGAACTAAGCCTGATATACATTAATATTATAGATTAATAGTAGTACAAGTTACAATTGATGTTCATCTGCATAAAATTTAGAATTGATATATATTATATATCTCAGCTCTACTTCTACATTACTAATACTAGTAAAGCTAGTCTCACTATCAGTATCACTCAATATCAGTATAACATTCACTGATTCAGAGTAGGCTTAGTTCTAACTAATAATCCAATACTATAATTTATTTCATATATATTAACTGACTATCAAAAATATTGTTAAAGTACGATACCTTATCTCCATCTTTATAAGTAGAACCGTTAACTACAGAAGAAAATAATAACATCAATTGCACAAAAATGCGGCTTTTAACTCCAATACCTCTCACACCCTCCATTGCCAAACACAACATGAGGTATGCTCGTCAGCATAACCTCAAACCCCCTAAGATTTGATAGTGTAAGTCGAGAGTATTCACTTTCTCTCTTATATTCTTACGCCTGATTTTTTTAAAAATTAATATATTTCAATTATTTCTATTCCAATAATATCAAATTGACATTAAGTAAAGTTTGAGGTTGTTTTAATATTTCTAAAAAGTTTGTGTATTTGTATATTCATAGTTATTAACTGAACCCCTTTTCTATGCGGATGTATATATCATCATTCATTGTGTGCATGAAGCTGTCATTCAGCGGTTGAATGTACGATGGGGAAAACGGTGGTATAAGTTGCATGTGATAATCGTAATGTAAACATTATTAGAGATTAGGAGGTCGGAGTCAGACGATGGATTTTCAGTCCGCAATGGAAACGTTTGCAGAAGCGTGGGTTGCGGCTATTACTCAGACCCCTTTAACAGAAGCAGCAGTCGAAGCTCAGGTGAGAACCCAGACTCAAAGAAAAAAAAGTACTAAGTAGCCTAGCTTGTGAGCCATTGGCTTTGTACAAATGAAACGTTAGTTCAGACTTCAGTAGTTGCACGTTCAGTTGGGCCTAGCGTTATATTACTTATAAATATAAGTTACGATGAGTGTGATATTAATTATTATACTTACAGCATTATTGATGTGATCAATGTATAATAAACTAACAATGTTTTTTCCCTAGCATTATCGATAGGATAAAGCTAGTTGTATCCAGTATTAACTTGTAAGTTGTAAACTTAAAAATACAAAATTAATGATCAACTTTTCATGGTATTACTACTCCTAGTACTGGTAGTAGTAGTTGTAAGAAGTTGCACTACTGTAGCTGTAAGTTGTATTTGACCTGTGAGTAGTACTAGTAGTAGTACTACTAACTTATTAATATAGAATTTAGTAATATATGTTTCACAGTCATATTGTGTAGTCTACAGTTTCACAAACCCACAGTGTGAGTTAATTCTTAGTTTCATAAATCAAAGTTAACCCTTAGAACTTATTGACTTTTCAAACTGATGTTGATTTATAGTGTAAGTTTCAACTGCTCTTTGGCTTATAAAAATAATATAAGTAGGCTGTACTAAATAGTAGATAACATTTCTGCCTAGTAACTAGTCTAAAGTCAGATGATTTTTGGCCATTTAGAAATCAGGTTATTGAAAGTTATTGTCCAAACTGAGTTGTTGTAGCCAATGTACAGAAGTTAAACTTTTGAGCTGAAACACTGGTATGCTTAACTTTAGGCAGTAAATAATGGAAAAAGTACAAACAATGTTATAAGTAGAGTATACCAAATACAAGTATCGTATTATCTTCATTTCATGTGGTTATAATTGCTCTGGTATCTCACTCTTAGACTAAACCTTGTTTGACTAATAGTAGTTGTAGTACATTTGATTTAGAAATGTATAGTTTCAACTAAGAATATACAACATGATAGCCTAAACAACAGTGAATTATCCAGCTAATTATAATCTTTCAAACTCGTGATTCCGTCAAACAACACTGTAATGGAGTAGTAACTTTTGTATAAATACAAGACCACCTTCTGGACCTCATTTTCTGTTATCATTGATATTCAAATCCCAATTCAAGAGTTCATCATTCCATAACTTAAATGTACTTCCAATTGGCTGTTTAATTTTTTCAAGTGTATAAGAATTTAAGTCCAAATGTTTAAGCTACAATGTGACTTTGACAGTGTTAATGTTCTTCCTAGAATAAGGGTATCATTATTAAACATGGTACTGTGAAAAGAGACAATGGGTTTCCCGTTCTTAAGTTAGTAATTCTGATAGTTTATAAAAACTGTTAGGTCTTGTCTAAGTGTTTGACTGAAAATGTGATGTTTTATCAGTCTTCACCTGTTATGCAAGAACAAAATTGTTTCCCTAAATTTTCACATTTTTCTATATTAAATCCTTTGCTCACTAACTAAGAAACTTCAACTAATTTCCAACTAAGTAATTTTTGTTTACAAAACCAACCTTTCCAAGCAATTTACCACTTTCAGCAAAGGTAAATATATCTGCATAGAAAGCTATCCAAATTGTTGATATAAATAACCAGTGTTAAAACTTACAAAACACATCTCGGAGTCGTAGGTTTGAGAACTTTAATGGACTGTAACTGCCTATTGTCTCCTTGTCATTCAACAGGCAATTGCATTCCAGTCAAGTTCTCAAACCTACTGTGCCTAAAGTTCCAATGAAATAACATGTCCCAGGGTCACTTTTGCTGATCGATAATCACAGTAACACCCATTTTAACTTAGTTTGGAGTATGTATCCTATAACAGCTTGGTTACTTGTGAGAAGTCATACATGGTAGAAATAGGATGATCTGATGTGTATAATTTAAAGGCTTATAAAGTGCAACTCGTTTGTAGAAAGCAACAAATTTTCAGAAGTTTTTCTTAACTGAACAATGACATCCATAGGGCTCTGTTTCAAGACATTTTTTTTTACTCAACTGATGACACAGAATTGCTGAAGAGAGCTTGATAATAAGGAGAATATTTTGATTTAAAACAATCTTAAAGAACATATGCGAGAAGAAAATGACAGAAGGGAATTCAGCCCATCATGATAACCAATCAAAATATATAACCAAGTTAACTGTGTAGTCCTTCAGAGATATTCACAGTATTTGCCCAGTAAACAGTTTAAAAGAAGTTAAAACTAGTGAACATACAATATCATCAAGTAAATGAATTCAAAAGTGTATGTCTTAATCAAAAAATAGTTTTGTTAACATTAGACTTCTAGAGCTAAAAGATATCTAAAAATATAACATAATGCAAGGCAAAAGAAGGCTATTTTGCCAATCAAGATCGCTTTTAACCCATAAAAAAAGTAGCAAAACATTTTATTAACATTAAATACAGCTCCTCACATCTACAGTTTACATAATTAACCAACAGAACTATCGACACTCACCACAGCATAAAATAAAATGTTCAAGTTATTAATTCCAACCAATAAAAATGTTGTCAATAATCATGTCTGCATAAAGATTTCCAAAGTTTCATCCTATTACATCCTTGTATAAAGATTTTTAATACCTCCTTTTCGTGTCATTACTCACAGGAAAAATCATTTAAATCTCCAACAGTTTGAACTCCTCAATCAAGTCTTCACTTGTTCTTCTGTTCATTAGACAAAACTATCTCTAAATTTCAAGTATTTCTTTTTAGCTTCAAACATTTAAACTATTAATCATTCTAGTAGTCTGTCTCTACTCTACAGTTTGCAGTAAGGGGACTAAAACTACTCTAAATGAGGCTTCCCCACAATCTCGTACAATATTAATATAATTCAAGTGTTCTCAAACTGTAGGTTGCTTGAGGCTCGAAATGGGTTTGCAAAAGAGTTTAAAAGATATACCAAATCTCTTTGAAGTTTTTCTTTTAAATACTGATATATTTATGGAGAGTTCCTTCATCTTTTCAACCTCTTCTATCTCTGGTTATTTTTCAAGGAAAGCATTTAACTCTTATGTAAATTCATTTTGGGTTTGTGCACAAACCTACACCAGTTTATCTGTACACAGCTCTCCCTAATGTTGAACTGAAAAACTAGATGGAAGCCTGCTACCTTCTCTCGTCTCACTGAAGAGTGGAATTAGACAATCACTCTTATTGGTGCACCAAAACAACAGGTTGTGAACCATGAATCCTTGGTTTTACAGTCCAGGTTTACTAACAGACCTGGCCACACCTTTAATATTCTACATGGTTTGTTTAAAGTTATGGAGTAACTTTAAAACAAACTGTATTTGGAGTAACTTTATTATTTTACTAGTGATTTTTAGAACACTAGTTATCCTCACTTGAATTGTATGTACCAAATGGGTTGAGTCTTAAGTGCTCATTCTCACAAAGGGGATGGGAAGGGTTAAGAAGCCTTGATATAATCTATTGCTTTCATATTTAAATTTCTTACAAATAAAACCCAAAACCGCTTGCTGTATGGACTGCAGTTAAATACTTAGATGAAGACTTTTGGGTTTTATGAACAATCACAATTAATCAGTATTTCTCTCATACAAGAAGTAAATCCTTTCCAAATTTCAAAAAAGGTACACGACTTCATATTTCTTGACATTTTATAGATTGTTACACAGAGATAGGTTAAGTTCTTGTATCTTGAGAAAAGAAGGGTAAGTGGTGGTTTTAATGAAATTTACAAGATTATACAGGAGATCTAAAGGATAAGTACCTCGGATATCTTTTGTGCTTTATCCTAAGACAATAGGATGAGAGAACACAAACTTAAGATTTGGAAATGACGGGCTAGTCTCCAGTTAAGATAGTTTTAGAATGAGTTGCCACTGGCACTATTGTAGGCTGGCATCTTGTGAAAGTTTAAGAGGGGAATCGGTGAATTATTTTACTCATGAAAGGTTATACAAGAACCAAATAGTTCCTTAGTTTCTATGTTTGTTTTATTTCTTTCAGTCACTAATAACTTTTGTTTTTTTTTAATAAATTAAACATTTTAATGGAATCAGCTTCTCTCGGTTCCTTTAAAATTGTTGCTAATGAATTTGGAAATACTACTATTTAAGAAGCTTTGGAGGGTCTGGTAAAAGCTTTCCAAAGTCAGTTAGTGAAATCTGATATAAAAGAAATCCACCATAGATTTACCAAGGAGAAATCTTGTGTAACTTATCTGATATTACTATAATTTTATTTTTTGTAGTGTGTCTCTTGGATGATGGAAAGGATTTATACTTGGGAAGGTTCTGCACTAAAGGTTAGCTAAAAAATCACTTTGGTTGGGGTTTAGGTAAGAGTGGTTACTAGAATTGAATGGTGATTAGATGAGGAGAAAACAAAATGTTACAGTTAATGAAGTTCAGTTAAACTGGATGCTTGTTGCCTCGGGGGTCAGCACTTGGATCTTTGCTTTTTCTCATGTACGTTAATGATATTGATAGATACAAAATTAGTTATTTGCTGATGATATTAAACTCTTGGATATTTCTAACTGGATTGAGGATGTTGAGATATTACAGAATGACTTGGATCGGTTGATAACTCGGATAAGGACTTAACAACACTATAGTAGTGCATGGTTATGCATTTGTTTCATCATAATTCAGTTTTGTGTTTAATATAGTTGAGAACTCACTCAGTAGTGTTACTAAAGAAAAGAATCTTGGTATAGTGGTGGATAAGACTTCAAAGCCATTGAAGCAGTGTTCCATTGCTAGAAGAAAGCTAATAGAACTTAATGTGTATTTATAGACATATTGATTACAAGTCAAAAGTGGACGTTATCTACAAATCACTAGTTTAGGCCTCAGAGTATTCAGAGCAGTGTTTTCCAAACTTTTTTCCCTAATGACACCCTAACCCACTTGCCCTCATTTGTGTGGTTTAAATTTTTACTCTTTCTCAAGGTTAGATGTGAAGGAACAGTCTAGAAAGATGAAATCATATTTGTTGTCCATATGTTTGGTTAACATTAATAATAAACCACAAAGTACTAACATAGTCTCCTGAAGGACTCGTGCTACATTCTTTAACCATTCTTTTTTTTATTATTATGTTTAGTCCAATTTTCTATCCACTTCTCAGCTTTCAGAAATGAAGGTTATTTGATTCAGTTACTTGAAATTGGTATGGGCTTGGTTAGTCCTTTTTTTTGGGGGGGGGGCAGGGTTTGTTTTAGCTGTGAAATGTAAAGGTTGAAAGGAACAACTTCAATATTAGGAGTAATAGATTTAATCTTTATAAACATTTGTTCTCTAAGATTATTATAAAAATAAGTTTGTAATTAGTGCTTTAATGATGTAGTCTTCACTGTTATTTTAGCTGTTTTTTATGCTTGTGAAGGGTTACATTAATTTTTGAGATTATTATACGTTTGAAGGGCTGTATCATTTATTAGGTGTGTATAAGTTTGTGAAGGGCTGTATCATCATTTATTAGATATGTATACGTTTGTCAAGGACTATATCATTTATTAGCTGTGTATACGTTTGTGAAGGGCTATATCATTTATTAGGTGTGTATACGTTTGTGAAGGGCTATATCATCGTTTATTAGGTGTGTATACGTTTGTGAAGGGCTATATCATCGTTTATTTGATGTGTATACGTTTGTGAAGGGCTGTATCATCGTTTATTTGATGTGTATACGTTTGTGAAGGGCTGTATCATCGTTTATTTGATGTGTATACGTTTGTGAAGGGCTGTATCATCGTTTATTTGATGTGTATACGTTTGTGAAGGGCTGTATCATCGTTTATTTGATGTGTATACGTTTGTGAAGGGCTTTATTAAATTTAGATTTGATTTTTTGTTTGCTTGGAATTCTAGGTTAGGGGTGACTTCAATGACCATTGATCATCGTAGTTTGTGTTTTTAATCATATTCCATGAGGAAGCTGGGGAATGAAGATTAAATCCAATGCAGTAGATAATCCCAAGTTTATGGATCCTTATTATGCAGTTGCTTGTTGCCAAAACATATTTTCACTGTTTCATTTTAATGTCTTTGTTTTACTTTTATTGTTGTTCTTTTTTGATTTGGATGTTTGGCTTTATTTATATATTCAAATTACCATAAAAACATACTAACTAAAGAGTAAATACACAACTATTAAGTGGTGTGCCTACTTAAACATAATAGTAGTTTTGATATTCAGAAAGTACTTGTGTTATTGCTCAGTCAAAATTCTTTAAAAAAAAATATATATATACACACTCATTTTTATAATTAATGTGTATAATACCAAACCATTGTTTTTAAAATAATTTTGGACAGTGATTTGAAAGTTTCTTTTACTATGTTATAAAAAAAGGTAATAATATTAAAATATTTTAAAGATAATGTATTAAAGAATGTGTTCGTGAAGTACACGCCTACCGTATGAAAGAACGTGTTCGTGAAGTACACGCTTGCCGTACTTATTCCATAACTTTTTATGATAACTGTTACACCTGATAGGGGGTTGTACAGTGGATACACTAACTCAAAATATAGAAATGTTTTTCTGCATATCCATTGCTGTAGCCTTAGCGATACATGCTTTGTGTGGAAAACACTTCAAGTCTTACTTTAATGTATTTGTTTCTGCTCCCGAACAGCATATAGCACAAAAAATCCACTATTACTTTTCATGGGCCGACCATTACTTGTTCATAACAATACTGAATGTTGACTTCTGTATTTGACTCCCATTTTGTTAATATTAAATAGAATTCAGCAATATGTACATTCAATTATGGTTCACTATGTGAGGTCTTTCTGCCTTGTTCTATTCTATACTTATTAACAGCACAAATAGATCCATTGCCTTCTGGTGGAGCTATAAGTAATTTACTGAAAATCAATGAAC